GCTAAGGCATCAGTCCAAAAGTTTGCTTGGCTTCGTCCAAGAGACCGTTCTGGGCATATGCCAAAAGCATGGTGCTCCAAGAAACGATGTCTTGCTCGGGCATTTCCTCAAAGATCTGGCTTGCTCTGCTTATCCGGACCTCGGTAGCGGTCGCCAAGAGGATTGCATTCAAACACAGAAGGTTGTGCCGAGGCATCTCCTGTAACAATCGCGTCGCAAGATCAAGATGCCCGCATTGGGCATAAGCTGCAACCATGGCGGCCTGCGATACCGAATCCCTCTGCGGCATGTCGTCAAACAGTCGCTACATTGACGATGTAACAACAACACTACTTAGGGGGAGGGAGGGGGGCATCCATCTTTTTGCTTACACCAGGTCTCTTACTATTAGCGTTCTTCTTCGTTTTTTTTCTTCCCTTTACATATTTTGAGGACAATGTATATGAGGAGGCCCCTTCGATGTCGATGAAAAGCTTCTAAAAAATGTACTTACAAAGCATGTGTGTATGTGAGGTACATAGTTGGACGAAAAGGGGTGTAGTGTATATTATATTGGCTTTCGTCGTCCTTGTAATCCTCTTTTCAGATGACGAACACGTAACTAGAAAAATTTGTGTGTCTTCTGAGCTGGGCTCGTTTCCAAGTGACACGATTAAGAGGCACACTCGAGACGATTCACGGGAACCAGAATATTCCACTACTTATCAGATATTTGCCCGTGGAGGAGATCGATTGATGGCGCAGGTTGCATTGCCGCTACGCTGCTAGATTTCTAGAATCTGAGGTGAGTCGGTGCAGATCTAGCATTGTTGGTCCCGACCGCGTTCAGCTAGAATCCCGATCCGTCTCCACCACTTTGCTGGTTCTCCTGCTGCTATGGAGCGATCCATCCATCCACAAATGCCCAGCCCAGCAAGTTTACATCGAATCCGACCAAGAGGGCTATAACACTCTCCAGTCGGTCGGCCCCACTTTAGATTGAGCGTGGAGCAGCTTGCTAAGGCTTCACATGAACTGTAATTTTGCCCTAAAATAGAAAAGTATGATTCCAGTGATTTTAGAGAGCGATTCTGACACAGTTGAACAATGGTGCTTGATTGGGCATAGTTCTATGTTGCCAAACTCATTCCTTATGCTTCTGGCAAAAGATTTAGGCATTAGAAATGTAATTATTATGGAAAAATGTATGGCAGTTAACACATTTTGCTAAAATTCTTGGGCATGATATTGAAACATATAGTGTTTCAAACATTCCTCTTTATATTCAAAATCAAACTTATTGAATATTTGTGGAGCAAATCACAAATGCACTTTTGTCTTTACTTTTTATAACAAATTTATGGAGAGTTAACATTTTGATGGGGCATTTGCTTCTGGAGCTTGTATCGAAAGTGTTAATTAATCTCAGCCTATGAATACTTCATAAGCTATGAGGGATCATTTATTGGCTGAAAGTGAATGTGAAATGGCAACATTGGGAAAATACTTGATGATGCAAGAAACATAAACTTAGATGATGTGATATCAAAGTTCATTTTCTTCAATGCCATAGCATTTAGTGTTGTGAAAAACTTATTTTTTGTGCAATAATTGTAGCCACTTGTAATGCCACACATAGTGTTGCATTGAGGATTCTTGATTACAAGGAGTTTTGTATTACTCAATTTACTCATTACTATACTTTAATAAAAAAGAAACTAACTCCTTTTTGTGATAAATACGCTCAATTTGAATATACAATAATGATGATTTGATACATTCATAAATTTCATGGTTACTTTTATCTATAATTAAGTATTTTGGCAAAGTGTTAACACCAAAAGAGAAAGGAAGATTGGTCTTTGGCTTTAGGAGTAATTTATACCCATCATTTTGGATATTAATGTTGAAAATGTTATTCAAAGTCATTATTAATAATACTTCTAATTGTGTATCAATAAAGAACATATAAAAAATGAATTCCCCTTTATCTTACACAATTGATGCATATGCCATGTTTTGGACTTAACACTCTACCTTTTCCATCAACCAGGGGGTGATCCTTTGATCATGAGAATGAGAGGCTACATCTTGCCGATCTTTATGCTGCTTGCATGCTTCGTTGGCAGCATCAGCTGCTCAGCTCATCAATAGCAGATCATCAGTCAACAAAGTGGGATTTCCGTCCATGTTGAGGCTCAGGAAAGCTGCCAAGGAGGAGTGGTGTGAGCCAAATTATGCCTTCTTGCCCTGCTCCACTGGCCTCCGCAAAAACTGGTTGAAAAGTTTACCCTTAATATCACGTCACAAACGCCACAACTGCCATGGTATCATCTAGCTTTCCACCGCTCCAATTCATTCTCGCCTTTGCAGCCGCCCTGGCAAACGGGCTGTCCAAACGCTCGGCCTGCGCCCCAGCTACACGATCTGCTGCAGCTGCCTGGCGATCTTGAGATTCGTCAACAGCGAGAGTTCACCTTCAAGTTGACTTGGTCGGACCCAAGAGAATTTTTAAGAACTTCGGTTATGTCGTCATTGAAGAGATTGTCAAAAAGGCCATCAGTTCCCAAAGCAATGATGTCCCCCTTGCAGACAGGGATCTTGAAATCCTGTAGACGGAAAATTAGCGAAGTTAAGGGAAAAGCAAGAGTACCTCTGCAACCGTCGGATGGTCACCAAAAATTCCAACTTGAAACGGAAACTTGACGTTCTTGGGCTTTGGTTAGCCAGGATGCAGATATACATCCACTTCTCCTTCACGTCCGCTGCTTGGCTCGAGCTTCGTGGTGGCGCCATCCAAAAGTGCGCTCCATGGCTGTCCATTTGGATCCGAGACAAAGATTGGCAACAAGATCGATCACACCCAATTCGCTCACCGACAACGCGGGCGGGCCATGTCGACGGGATTTTTTCGGTGGTATCCTCCCAACGCGAGCTGCTACTAGATCGATTTGGCGATGGATCCAGGCGTGTGCTTGGTTCATCCCAGCAAGAGGCAGCCGGTCACTTGTGCCTCCGGGATCGCCTCCTCCGGCTCTCTCTCTCGGGCGATTCTTCCAGCAGCCACACGCTGCTCCCGAATTCCTCTCTCGCAGTGGCAGCAGCAGCACCCGCCGCGGCGGAGCTCCAGCACCAACATTTGCTCGATTTGCCGCTCCCGATTCAAGAAATGGGGGGGAAGGAGGGTTTCCAGCGGATGGATTCTTCTCCACGCGGAACTGCAAGGCAAATGCCGCCGGGTCCTATCACAGTCCCCTGGTATCGGCATCCGCCACGCCCGTGGCTCATCACGTCGACAGGGATCATCGCGGCGCCAGGAATCCCCATCACCACAGCGGCGGCGGCGGCAAGCTCTCCTGGATCTCCTCCTTCTTTGGGCTGCGCAAGAGGAAGAAGAAATCCAGCCACAACGGCGCCGTGGAGACGAATTTCTTCCCTCCCGGGCCCGGAACGACGATTTCCACCACCGCGGCGCGCACGCCGATCGCGATCGCCTGTGGCGCAGCCGATCGGTCTCCTCGGGGTGATCAAGAAGAGCTTCACTCTCCCGGCGCGCCCACTGGAATCGACCCCGCGACCTCCTCCCGAGGGCGTCGGCGCCGGGAATCGAACCCCTGGACATGACCAACGAGATTTTTTAGGAGTAGAAGACAGGATTACCCACCGGTGTGTTATATAAGATTTTCTTTCAATTCTGTAACTTTTCTCTTTCCTCTCTCTCAGATTCACTCAAGTGAAGATGAATTCAAAAGAGACGATAGAATGATTTGCTCTTTTGGGGTGTCTTAAAATCTCTCAAAGTTGGCGATGTTGGCACACCAACCAGTGTAATATAGTGTGTCAAAAACCTTGGAACATGTGCAAGTGAGAGATTTGCGATTGCACGGGTTTTTTTTCTTGGGTTTCGAGGATTAGACTAGATTACTGAGCCTGGAATGTTTGCTTCGCTGTTTAAATCGCTGACAAGGACCAACTGCTGTCTGTCATGGTTTGTATGCTTATTTTGCAGTCTTTAATCCCAAGATAAAGACCATCACCACCACCTTGAATACAAAATAGAATCCTTTGTGTGCGATACAGTTAGTTCACGCAAACACTGAAGTGTTGGTAATGGATTCATGTGGATGATTCAAGTTGCTTGAGGAAACTGCCAAAGAAAGATCCATGAATTTGTATCCAGAGGGTGTCCGGAAGAGAAGCTCCTCGAGCAGTGGAAGAAAGAGAGGCGGCTAAAGTCATGGAGCACCAAACTAAAACGTACTCGATTCATGGGTCACCGTCACAGCAAAAAATCGTATACAATCGCAAGCGCTAAGTCGGCGCCACAAGTGGAAAAACTCGATCAGAACAACGACTTTGCATATAAACGTAGGAGTTTGCTCTTGATTGTGAACATCGCCCCAGCAACATGAAATCTCCTTGCTCTCCTCTCCTCTTTGCAACTCTGGCGATCTTCTTTTGTGATGCTTTGGTTGTTCTTCAAGCAAGCCAGCAGATTGATCTTGTCGACGCACACAACGCAGCTCGGTCGGCTGTGAATGTCTCGGGGCTGGTTTGGGACGATACAGTGGCCGCGTTTGCATCAAGCTGGGCGGCAACTCTCCGGGATCAAAACAACTGCGCGCTGATCCACTCGGGTGGGAGATATGGCGAGAATCTGTGGAAGTGGTGGGGAAGTCCCGGCTTGCCTGCTCCTCCCGCCACTGACGCTGTGGCTGCCTGGGTGAGCGAGCAAGTCGACTACAACTATGCGTCAAACACTTGCGCGGCAGGGAAGGTCTGTGGACACTACACGCAGGTTGTGTGGAAGAACTCTGTTCGAGTTGGATGCGCTTATGTCCAGTGCAATGGTATGAATTCTTACCTTGTTAGTTGCAACTATGATCCGCCAGGAAATTATATAGGCCAGAAACCATATTGACATCTGATACATACTGATATCTGGAAGTTACCTTAAAAGATTAAGTAATAAACAGTAGTAACAATATTAACGGACTTGCACTCAACTCAACTCAATTTGTCAAGGTCAATAAAGCTAATAGAGACTTTCTTGGACTTTTTTTTGCCTTCCATTGACTTTATGAGCTCCAAGCTCAAAGTGCTCCTCGCTCAGGAGGATTTATCGCATCTACGCGTCATTGGCGCAAGACTATTGAAACAGTGGCTACATTCTCAAGTTCAACTGTAAATTAGCAATGGTTGGTAGATAGATAGATTCATGGTATGATGATTAATCATCTATATCCAAGTTTCTAGTTCTTGGCAGGCTCGAGCGCGAAACCAATCCCGCGCATGTAGTCCGAGGTGAATCCATACAAGCCCACGATCTCGCTCGCGTCCGCCGTCTGGAAGCTCGTCTGGCTGCTCATCTCATGCCCGCCGTACGGGCCGTACGTGACGCTCGTGCCGGTGATGTTGTTGTACGTGACGAACGACAGCTCCGTCACCGTGACACCCTGGTTCTTCTCGCTGCTGTACGGCCCGTACTTGCCAGTGGCGCGCACGAACCTCTCCGACGGATAGGCGAGTTGGATCTGCGTCATGGAATGGAATGATTGAAATTAGAAACGCTCATTTTGGTTCTTTTGGGCCACTGACCTCTGTGAATTGCGTGGTTGTGCCGTGGTTAGGCATCCAGGTTGAAGAGCTGCCGGTGGCGTATTGTCCCTGGATGCCGTCGATCACCCAGCCGTAGTGTACGCGGATTCCGGTGAGCGTTTTGATCGCCGAGGAAGAACTCGTGTCGTTGAATCCCACACCCGCGTTGGTGCCGTAGAGCGGAGACCAGGAGCGCGCTTCCACCGCGACGACGACAAGCTACGAGAAAACAACAAAATTCATTACTGGGAATGGACCGAAGAAACATCAATGGAGTGGAGTAATGAGCTAATCTGTATACCAGGAGAACAACGAAGGATCTCAACAATGCAGCCATTGCACAGCTCTGAAACTTCTCTCCCTTGCTATAATCGACTGCTACCAAGAGGAGAAGAAACTCCTTGTGTAGACGGGAAATGTTGTGCAGCCTTTGCTTTGGCTTTGAGCATGCAGCCTTCTTGGACAGCAACATGCAAACAAGAGTCCCGTGAAAGAATATAGTATATAAACTGCACGAACTCTGTTGTAAAACAGCTTTCAGATGGAATGCCACAGTCATGCCAGCCTTAGTAGTATTAATGATATTAGGATCGGATTAATGTATTATCATGACAATATGTTTCCTATAATCAGTTGTTTAGGATTCTGAGTGTCTCAATGTTTCGCGTCCCAAGGTGGTTCTTGTAGAAGCTGTCCATGTACTCTCTGAACAAGCATGCTTTGAACATGGGAGGATTGTCACCTAGCAACTCCTCCAGTGGGGCAATATGTTTATCATCTGTAGGACCATAAAATGAAGCAATTGAAACTCGTGGCCTCTTAGTGTTCACTAGAACTTGATGCTCCGCACTCTTATATTTATTGTTGCTTAGTATCTGTAAGAGGGAAACTAAGAGCTCATAGAAAATGTCATAAAATTATTTCACCTGGAGCATGTCTGCTATATTAATGACTAATGCGCCTTCAACTGGCTTCACAGGAATCCATTGGCCATTGTAGTTAACCTCAAGGCCCTCAACTCCAAGTTCTTGTTGTAATACCGTTATGGTTCCTGGATCAGCATGGCGGCCTATGCCAATTGCTTGATCAGGGCATGGACACTGTGGATAATATGTCATCTTCATGGTTTGCTTGGGAGGATCCAAGTGTTTCTCCAGGATCTGCCAACCTAGACCAAGGTTTTGAGCAATAATTCGCAATAGTTTTCTGGCAAGTTCGTCCACAGCCTTGGCGTAATTGCTTGTAATTTTCCTTTGTTATAATGAATATATAGTGTTAAAACAGAAGAAAAAAAGAAGAAGATCTGTTAAAGGAAAGTTTGTACCTATAATTTGGAATACTTTCTGGTACATCATCCTCGTGAACTGCTGGCCTACAGTGCTGACACAAATAGTCGCTCCAAAACTTCTTCTTTGCACTTGCTATGGATCCTGTGGAGAATCTAAAGCTCTTGTAGATATCTGTTGAGTAGTAAACCATCCTTTCCTTGGCAGGCAAGTTAAAAAAGTGATGGACCATTTTGATGATGTCTTGCATAAGCTCGTTAGATATCCCATGGCCGATGACCTGACTAGAACAATTTGCAAAGTATTTCAGAAGAGATTATTTACCTGGAAAAAACCCCATTTCTGGCATGCTAGATGAATTGCTTCAGCTGCTGATTTTCTTTTCAAATCATCACTATCTATGCCACTTAAGTCAATAATTGGGAGGTTGTTTGGAGCTTTGATGGTTATGCCTTTGCATATGGATGTCAAATATTCATTTGGTACATGATCTATACCCAAATCCACCATTGCTCTCACACCAGCCATAATATTTTCCAAATAACCTGTTTCAGAAAACACAGAACATTGTTATATTCACTACATTTTATTGGTAATCTCGCCATACATTTTGTAAGTATCCGAGATTAAAGGTAAGAATAGAGGTTAGTTATGTTAAAACTTACAGTTTATTCAAACTAAGGGGCCTAAATGACGGATAAATATAAAATTTACAACCTTATCAAGTTGGCAAAAAGCTCATATGAAGCAGAATGTTCTTTTTCTAGTCCGATTATTTCCCTAGCAACCGAAGCTCCATGTTGAGCATCATTGTTACTTCGGCTTGCTCCAAACAAGCACCTCCACTGAATCGAATCTGGTACATATGGCATGTTAGCTACAAGATCTTGCGCATTTTCCAAATGCCCGGCTCGCCCAAAGACATCGATCATGCAGCAATAGTGCTGCTTGCTCGGTTGAAACCCAAAATCAAGACTCATCGACACGAAGAGCGATTTTGCAGTGGAAACCTTCCCTCCCTGGCTGCAAGCAATGAGGATCGATACAAAACACACCTTGTCAATTGATCCCGCCATCTTCATCTCGTCAAAAACAACAAAAGCTTCCAAGTAGAGCCCGTTTTGAACAAGAGCGGCAAGCATAGCGCTCCAGCAGATGGTGTCCCGTTCGGGAAGCGACTCAAACAGCCTTTCGGAATGCCTGACGTGACCATTGTGAGCATACGCTGCGAGCATTGCAGTCCACGAAACCACGTCGCGTTCCAGCATGTTGTCGAACAAAACCTTGGACTCTCGCAGCTGCTTGTGCTGCGCATACGACGCAAGCATGGCTGTCGAAGACGTGGAGTTGTGCTGAGGCATCAGTCCAAAAGTTTGCTTGGCTTCGTCCAAGAGACCGTTCTGGGCATATGCCGAAAGCATGGTGCTCCAAGAAACGATGTCTTGCTCGGGCATTTCCTCAAAGATCTGGCTTGCTCTGCTTATCCGGCCTTCAGCAGCGGTCGCCGCGAGGATTGCGTTCCAACACAGAAGATTGTGCCGAGGCATATCCTGTAACAATCGCGTCGCAAGATCAAGATGCCCGCATTGGGCATAAGCTGCAACCATGGCGGTCTGCGATACCGAATCCCTCTGCGGCATGTCGTCAAACAGTCGCTTGGCCTCTGCAAAATCGCCGTGCGCGACACATGCGTTGATCATGGTCGTCCAGGAAACCAGATCTCTTTGCGGCATCTTTAACCAGAGACTCTTTGTTTTTCGCAAATGCCCCAATTGAGCATTTGCTACAAGCATCAAGGTCCAGCTGACAAGATTATGCTGCGGCATTTGTTCGAACAGTGTTTCAGCATGGTGGATATATCCGGTTTGACAAAAAAGATTCAAAATGGAATTCCACGACACCCCATCACGCTCAGGCATTCGATCAAAAATTGTTTTCACTGATTCTATATGCCCAAGTTGGGCAACTGCCGCAAGAAGCGAGTTCCAGGAGAAAAGATCCCACTGTGGCATGGCGGAAAACATCCTCCTGGCCTCCAGAGCATTGCCACGTTTCGCAAAAGCCGATAAGAGAGAGTTCCAGGTGACGAGATTCCTGTCTGGCATCAATCGAAAGAGAAGCTCCGCCGTGTGGATTTGCCCCAGCTTGGCATACGCCGCGAGGAGCGAATTCCACGACACAATGTCGCGCCAGGGCATGGAATCAAACAGGCGCTGCGCGTCGTCCACGAATCCGTTCTGGGCGAAGGCGACGAGCATGGCGTTGCGCGAGACGATGGTGTGCTCGGGCATTCCATCGAAGACGAGCTTGGCCTCCCGGACGAGCCCATTGCGCGAATAGGCGCAGAGCATCAACACCCACGAGTAGGCATTCTTGTCAGCTATGGCGTCGAAAATCTCCCTCGCCTCTCTCACGCTGCCACGCCGTCCGTACAGGTCGATCTTCTTGTTCTCCACCACGACAGCCGTGCGGCCTAAATGCCCGTCCATAATTAGGTAGCGGACAGGACAGTGGTACGGCTCGTGAAAGCTCGCGCCACGTGTTGGATTGCCACGCGGCGGGATTCTAGTTAGCCACGCATCGCGCCACGTGTTGGGCAGGGCACGCGGATATTCTCCGCCGCTGAGATTAGCGCCGTTGGATGGAGCAATCGACGGCGGACATGCAGCCGACAGTCAGAGCCTAATTTTGGTTGCGCCGCCGGGGCGTGGTGGCGCCGCTGAAACCGATGGGTGGGGCGGCGCCGCTGGAGTGAGCTGAGGTTTCACTGAGAGAGAGAATGCTCGCCGCGATGGTGTGAATCGCGCGAATGGGGCGCCTTCCAATCTTGCTCGGCGATCTTTGTCCTCGCTAGAATGACCCTTCCTCCATTTGTCTTCTTCCAGCGATCGATCATCAGGTAACGCGAAGTTTTTCTTGAGCTTTCTCGAGATCTTCTTTCTCGCTTGTTGATCGACTCCAGTCGCGATGGATGTGGAGGAGGCCCGCCGCGCGGTCTACACGCGCGTCCAATGCCTCGACTCGGCAAACGTGCTCAAGATCATGGGCTACTTGCTGCTGCAAGACATTAGCGAGAAAGAGATGCTTGAGCTGGCTCGCAGCTCCGATTCGGTGGTGGAGGCATTCGTCGCCAGAGCCAAGCAGGAGCTGGGATTGATCTCAAGCGGCGGTGGCAGCGCTGGCGATCAGGCGCTGGCGATCGATTCGATCCCATGTCTCGGTGCCGAGGGATCGCAAGTTCTTGGTCTTGGAAGCCAGTCCCCGGTGGTGGCACAGGATTTGAGCGACATATGGGAGAGGCCGAGCTACCTCGAGAAGTTGACGCGCGCTGACCACGTCGCCGCGGTCAATGCCACGTCACCTTCGTCTCCCTCGTGGAAGCCATGCCTCTATTTCGCGAGAGGATACTGCAAGCACGGTAGCGCGTGCCGGTTCCTTCACGTATCATCCGGCGATGAATCGCTGGAGAAAATCAGCAACAGCAGCACTAGCAGTGGTGGCAGCAATGCCAGCAATCCTCCTCCCGCCAGTTCTTCCAGCGATCTCACAGGATCATCGATGGTGGATTCTCTGGCTGGATTGGAAGCCGAGATGCGTGAGCTTCTCACCGGGAGGAGAACGCCCGTGTCGATCGCGTCGCTACCCCAGCTCTACCACGAGAAGTTTGGGAAGTCCTTGCAGGCTGATGGATACTTGACCGAGAGCCAGAGGCATGGGAAAGCTGGGCACAGCCTCACCAAGCTCCTCATCAAGCTGCGAGCTACAGTAACTCTCATCGACAGGTATATATACCAAGAGAACTCGTCGATCCCAATCATCAAAGCTTTCATCTCTTTGTGTTTGATATCTTTCCAGGCCTCATGGTCAGCACGCTGTTGTTCTTGCCGAGGACGCTCACAAGTTTATGGCATATGGACAAGACTCGAGCGCGATCGCTGCGAATCCCAGCTCCAGGCAAATCTATCTAACTTTTCCAGCGGAGAGTGGCTTCTCCGAGGAGGATGTTACTACACACTTCAGGTATGTGATTGAGAAGAAAATCGCATGGCATTGTTTTGTTTATGGTTCTTTTCGTTGCTCAGTTCTTTCGGGCCCGTACAAGACGTGAGGATTCCTTACCAGCAAAAGAGAATGTTTGGCTTCGTCACCTTTACGTACTCGGAGACCGTACGGACGATCCTGGCGGAGGGAAACCCGCACTACATATGTGGAGCCCGTGTTCTAGTGAAGCCGTACAAGGAGAAAGGCAGACATGGCAACGAGAAGTGAGCTTTTTTCTCTTGTTTTCTTTTCACGAAAGGTGGTGGGGTATAAAATGTGTCTGTCGGTTTTCTTTGCAGAAAAGCGGATCCAGACGCGAAGCCTTTGCAAAGCCGGAACTTCGATCGCAATCGGCACCAGCAAAGCACCGGTATTTTCAAGAATCTTGTTGTGATATCGCTCTCGGTGATTGATTAGGAGATTTTTCCGTGCAGCTTTGAAGTACCATCTGCAAGATCAAGCGATCTCGAGAGCGTTAGGCGAAGAAGAACTTGCAGCAGCTCTTCAGCGGAAGCTTGCTGAGTTTCACCTTGCAAATGTCCAGCAGCGAATTGCAGAGTCTTATCTGGCTACTGGAGCTCCTGCTACTTCACTCGTTCCGGAGGAAAATCTCAACACCTCGCAGATCAAAGCCGAGGAACAACAAGGTACGGAGAAGGAAGTGGCATAGCTTTGATGGTTTCATTCGTTGTTGGATCTGGATGTGTAGATTCCAGTCAGGTTCAGCTGAACCCTTACAGTTACGTTCTTGATGTTTTGGATTTAGATCCAAATGAGGAACAATCTCTCAAGTGCAACTTACAAAGTGATAAGAAGGTAAGTATAAAGTTTGATGGTGTTTCTCTCTGGTGTCCTAACTTTTTAAAATCTAACAGATGCCCTCTGATACCCCTACGTTTTTTGCACATGATATATTTTGAGATTCAAGCAACCTCTAGGTCATTACGGAAACTATACAATGAAAAATGTTCTAAAGGCATACATTTTAGAAGGGCGAGAATATTGCAATACAGGAAAATATCAATTTTTGTGCGAGTTTTCATAGTTTAGACTTTAGGCTTTCTATTAACAAACTGACTGTAGGATTAACGAAATCAAAAGTATAATATTACGAATATTCCACCTTGAGTCAAACTAATCAGATCGAATCATTTAGTTAAGTTATGTAGATTTAAATAAAAACTTTAAAAATATGTATTCTCTAATCTTATTTATTTTAGTTTTGCTTACTGTTTTCACTCCCTCTATTCTGGTAATTACTAGAAGCTTCGTTTTAACAAAATATTTATTAGTGAGTGCATGGTCGCCGGGTAAGGACGGAAGCGAGTATCCGCGCCTCCTCTCTGGGACGACTGCCGGTTCGCAGCGCCACCATAGCCGGTGCTACCATTCCCACCACCGTACCCGCCACCTTCACCATTCTCACCACCGTTACCACCATTCAAGTCATAGCTACCATTGGCTCCGGCACCACCGCCACCACTGTAGCCACCATCGCCACCCCAGTTACCACCATCAGCATACCCCGCGCTTCCATACCCATCCCCGTATCCTCCACCATTGTAGCTACCACTCCCTGCCGCATAGCTCCCACTCCCTGGACCTGTGCCTGTGCTTCCATACCCTCCAGGACTGCTACCATAGCCTCGACCACCGTAACCCGCCCCGCTAGAACCGTAGCCATTATCGTTACTATAGTAGCCACCATACCCGCCGCTGCCACCTTGAGCTTGCGTCGCCGAGCCCCACATCCCCGCCGCTCCATATCCGCCACCGCCACCGCCGTATCCCTGCGAGCTTCCATAGCCTCCGGCCGCTCCAGGCCAAGCGCTTCTACTCAAGTTGTTTCCATATCCCGGACTGCTTCCACCGCCGTTCCCATAGCCTGCTGCTCCGCCATATCCAGCACCAGTAGCGTAGCCCCCTGGATATCCACCTGCGTAGCTCCCGTTCATCATATACCCCGCTCCTGCGTAGCCTGGATAGCCACCGGCGGGATAAGGATAAGCGCCTCTCGCAGGCACTGCTCCAAATCTTCCATCCGGACGGCCACCGTAAATCTGCGGGCTCGGGTATCCCTGTCCGTAAGCTCTTCCCATCCCGGCCAGTGTGTTGATCGGCTTCACGCTCGGGGTGGACTGGTCCCTTGGAACTGCCCGCTTCACTTCAACCATCTTGTCTTTCAGCTCGTGGAACGACTTCATGAGCACCGCTTCGACCGAGTCCTCGGAGTCGAACGTGATGAAGCCGAATCCCCTGGGCCGCTGCGTGGTGTGATCATACATGACCACTGCATCTGAAATAGTACCAAATTGCTCAAAATATCCTCGAAACTCCTCTTCTGTGACAGTTGACGCTAAGCCACCCACAAAAATCTTTTTTGTCCTACCCTGACCACCCCCTGGACTCTGGCCACCGCTACTGATGCTGCTCCTAGGAATAGTCTGCTGCTCATCTCTTGGCACAGCTTTCTTTGCTTCCACCTATGTAGAGTCGAAAAAAAAAGGGACAGACACAACTAGCACTAGTTATAACGACGACATTCACCCGACCCGACCAGGGACTAAAACCCAAAGTCCTAGAAAAATTTTGTTCTAGGAGAGAGCGAGTGAGCTTACCAGTCTGCCATTGATCGTGTGCTTCTCGGCGACTGCCATGTCTGCGGCGGATGGATCCGCAAAGGAAACGAAGCCGAATCCTCGAGCTCGCCCAGTGTTCCTGTCCTTCATGATCATCGTCTCCGCAATCTCCCCGTATCTCTGGAAGTAGTCTCTAAGCTGCTCCTCTGTCGTCTCCCACGAAATGCCTCCTATGAAAAGCTTCCCCTGGTCGGATTCCATCCCCTCACTACCAAAATTTTGCGAGCCTGCAAAACCCCAGCGATGGTGGGAGATCTCGTCAGCCGGATTGGAATGGCGCGCTCGCCGGCGCCGGCGCCGGCGCCTCGATCGCTGGGACGAGGAGCCGAGACGAGCGAGTAGCGCGAGATCGGTGGAGTGGCGCTTACCTGGTGTGTCCTGTCGGGCGCTTCCTAGAATCCCTCCCTCCCTAAATTAACCCTAACTCTCAATTCCCAAGCCCTAGCTCCTCTTTTATTTCACTCTCTCTTCGCATTCTTTGCGCGAGGGTTTCGTCGCTCGATCGAGAGGAGGAGAGGGATCATGTATCGCTGCAACGCCTGCAACGCGGATTTGGATGAGGGGGAGCAGCGGGCGCACTATCGATCGGAGTGGCACCGGCACAATCTCAAGCGCAAGGTATGGATCGAAGTCGAGGGTTTTGAGAGTGATTCTTTTCTCTGGATTGCCGATAGGTTGCTGGGATTCCCGGCGTCTCCGAGAAGCTCTTCAATCTCCGGCTGGAGCTTCTGGCAGCTGAGAAGAACACCCAAGAAGCCCGGATGATTTACACTTGCGCTACTTGCAACAAGTCCTACTCCACCGTCAATGCGCACGAGCAGCACCTCAAATCCAAGCTCCATTTGAGTAGAGCCAGCGACGGTCGCGACGCTACTGCGGTTGTTCGTCCTGCTCGATCTCTGTCCATGGATGGAAGTAAGAAGAGCTTGGAGAAAGAGGAGGAAAGTGAGGACGAGTGGGAGGAAGTGGACGATGGCGACGTAGATATCCAGTCCTTCACGGATGAGGAAGACAATGGCACCGCCACCACTGCCGCCATCACCGACACGGATTGGAATCCGGCACAGTGCTTCATCTGCGACGCTGAGCCGGATCAAACTCTGGAAGGCTGCGTGGAACACATGCACAGGATGCATGGATTTTTCATCCCGGATGCCGAGTATTTGAAAGACGCGACGGGATTGCTGAGCTATCTCGGTTCCAAGGTAGACCAACGTTCTCAAAACTTTGTTTTGATTGTTCTTTGTTCTTCATGTCAGGTCACCAAAGGATTTATGTGCCTCTACTGCGACGAAAGCGGGAAGCGATTCCAGAGCCTCGAGGCTGTGAGGAAACACATGATCGCAAAGAGCCACTGCAAGCTTCGTTACGGTGAGGGCGATGACGGTGCCGAGGAAGAGCTCGAGGACTTTTACGACTATAGCAGAAGGTTTGTGGAAGATTTGTATTTCATGTGTTTCGGTTTTGAGCCTGGATGCATTTCTCCAGCTACGAGGAAGGAGGAGAGCTCATGGCTGTTGATCAAGAGGACGAGTCTCCTATTTCGCTCTCTACTGGCGGCTACGAGCTCGTCCTCAAATCCTCGGAGGATGGCGTGGTCACCAAAACGATCGGCTCTCGAGAGTTTCATCGCTACTACAAGCAAAGGCCCAGGCCTGTGGAAGATCGCAGCACCGGTGGCAGTGCTAGCGCTGTTCGTGCTCTCGTCTCAAGGTACTCTTTCGGAAAAACACAATCTTTTCCCCATAGCTTTCATTATCGCAGGTATCGAAGCATGGGATTGGCAACTCGACAAAGCCAGCGATCGTTCGTCAGTCGCAAGGAGACGAGCCACCTTCCAGCCATGAGACTGGAGGCCATGAGAACGAAGCTGGGGCTCAAGAACAACGTTATAAGAAATCTTCCAAAGAACTGTACACACTGAGAGAAAGCGCTATATAGTTATTGTTTCATCCGGAAGTTAAAGGTTAAAGGAAACAGTTAAAGGAAACAATGCCTTGAAGAGAGTAAAAGAAAGGGTAAAGAAAAATTCCAATGTGGGTTTAGGGTTTATGCGGATAGGGGAGAAATGGAGGGCGTCAAGCAGGCGATGGCGACGGTCGTGAAGCGCGCCGTCGTGGTGGCCGACCTCGTCGCATTCACGGCCTTCCATTTCGCTTGCAGCGCCAAGGAATTCGCCGAGTCTGGATTTGGCGTGCCGAAGCTCGTCACGGATGTGGCCGGGTGGAGCGTTGCGGTGAGCTTTTTGTGCATTGCATTGCCTCGCATTTATCTATCTCGTGGCTCTCCCAGGGATGCGCAGTTGCTGGGAATGCCTGCCTTGTGCTGGATGTGATGAGGAAATTCTACGGAAAAAAGTAAGTTCGTTCTCGCGGAGCTCTAAAACGTTTGCATTTCTTATTTTGCCTCCATAGAGAATGCAACACTTGTAATGGCTGGGAAGGGATTCGATGCACGTCATGTAGAGGCACCGGGAAAATCCAGTACCTTATCGTGAATCCAGGGTTGGAAGGGTACGTTTTCTCTCCCTTTTTTTGCTAGATAGCAAGGTTCCTTGTTTAATTCTTCTTTAACCATTAGAGGAGAAAGCTCGACAGCTGAAAGTGCTGCCAAATCAGTTGTGGATGGACGTGCGCAACTTAGAACTACCTCGGCTAGCGCGGACGTTGGCTACACTCTGCCTTCAAAAGACTGTACGACTTGTTCTGGAACAGTATGAGATCTCTCCTTTGTTCTATTTATCTTTTCCAACTCTGTTATCTTTGAACTTATGCCTGGTTGCAGGGAGTAATGAAGTGTACCGAGTGCAATGGAAATGCTTGGAGACCTGGCTTTCACGCCGATAAAGTAAGGCATACTTGATTTTAACAAACACTTGGTTTATTATGTCCGCAGCTTATAAACTCCTCGACAAAAGCACTAAATGCTTACAAGAAATTGAACGTTCCAAATGAAGTAAGTAACGATGCTTGTTCCTAAACACGATATTCGCGCTCGATCTGTGCAGGCTATCTTAGAAAGCTGCGAAGACCCCGCAACTGCGGAGTTCTTTCTTTTCACGCGTCCGGAACTAGAAGGGGGTTACCGAATGGATGAAGATATGAAGAAGGAAATGTGGTGGAACTATGAGGTCTGTTCTGCTTTTCTGAGTTGTTCAGTGCTAAGAGAAATGCTACTATTGCATGCAGGAGTGGCGACGCAACAGATTAGCACAAAAGGCTGTTGGGAACCAAGAGCCTGGATGGGAATCGATGCAGCAGGTCTCTGCTTTCCTTTTATTTTTATTTTCTCTTTTTATGTTTCCTCGAGCTGATTCCTTGTGCCTTTGCAGGTTTTAGTCACTACAGATCCTGTTGAAACGCTGGAAGATCCTGCTGTTGTGAAGAATGTTTCTTATTACAAGGCTCGAAGAGCAGTAGAAGCGGAAGTTGACAGCATGATAATGCCACAACGCCCTGCTGACTGGAAGGTGCCTCTCAAATACCCACTCAAAGAATCAGACTGGTCAGAAGACGACTTGAAAGATCCAAAGAAGAAAGAAGAACGGGACGTGCTTCTCAAAGCGCAGGCCGAGATCGTGAATGAGGTTTCTGATGAAGCTTGGGCAGCCGAATGGCGAGAACTCATGGTAAGTTATCCTTGAGATTATACTTCCCTTCAGCTATGCTGTCTTGCAGATTCAAGACCTCACGAGGCAAAAGATCGAAAACTACGTGAAGACGTTGTCCAAGCCGAAAGTAGAACCTCCAAAGCCGGCCGTTGCGAAGCCGGTTGAGAAAGCGAAGCCCGTGGAGGTAAGGAAAATTGCTTTTTCCTTTCACCTTTCGAGTGGACTTCACGAATTTCTTTTGTGCAGCAAATGAGCAAGGAAGAAAAGAAGAAAAAAGAGAGGAGGGAAAGGGCCGAGAGAATTGCGAAGCAGGCTGCTGACAGAGAAGCTGCGCTGAAAAAATCCAAGGCAAGGAAGTAGATAAGATTGCGGGAGCCAGAGCAACAGTAGCTCTAGGGTTTTAGCGCTTCAATTCAGTGATGGAGTGGAGAGCCATGGCGGCGGTGATGTTTCCGGTGTGCTCGAGAGTCATCCCGGACAGGAGGTGCCGTGCTTTTAAGCCGGCTTCCCATTTCCAAAGGTTCGTCTTTTTGTTTTGCTACGAAGTGACAAGAAATGCAAACTTTTTGTTACGTGCAGTGCCGTTTCCAAAAGGAGCTTGAACAGAGTGATGGTGAGATGCGCAAAAGAAGACCCAACTACTGGAATGCGCAAAGACTGGTTGCTAGACGACGAGCACGCACTAGAAGCGGAGCTGCAGCAAGCTATACAGTCCGAGGATTATGCCAAGGCCGCAATTGTACGTGACAGGCTGCGCGGCGTCCAACAGGATGGTGTTACCGGCGTGCTCGAAGCCAACGCTCGCTTCTACAGAGCTTTCGAGCAAGGGGACCTGGCAGCAATGCGCAAGATGTGGAAGAAAGGCGACAGCGTACACTGTGTTCATCCTGGCGCCGGACGAATCTCCGGCCACGAGCTTGTGATATCGAGCTGGGAAGTGATGCTGGGACCGGAGGTGGATTTCCCGCTGCGGATTCGTCTGGAACATGTGGAAGTCCGTGTCAGGGGAGACTTGGGATATGTTACGTGCTTGGAAGTGGTGCGGTCGGGGACGAGCTGGGGGAAACAGGTTGCGACGAACGTCTTTGAGAGGCAAGATGGTGTGTGGCAAATTTGCATGCACCATGCTTCTCCAGCCCCCGACAGCTAGAATTTCTTCGAAGAACATCTACAAAAACTTCTTTTTCCGAGAAACTCGACGCAGCTCTGGAAGATGGGGAAGATCGGACTGGAATCGAGGCACGTAAGGATGTCTCGTTCTTGAGAGCTGGTTGGGCAGCGGCTGCAGCAGCATCCAGGTCTTGCTGTTTCGTCATGAGCATGAGCATTCGGAACGCTGCGCTGTTCTGGAGCGAGCCAATGCAGCTTGTTTGGTTGCAAACCAAAGTTGGCAGACACGGAGCAAAAGATCAGGCAGTCGAACTCATCGCCAGCACCTTCTGAAGCAGCTCCGGACTAGCGATCTGTCCTGCGGAGCTCAAGAACACAACTTTGCAGTCAGATGCAATATAGACGTTCGAGAAGAGGCAAGCATGAAAAATGAGAACTTTACCTTGGGGAATTTTACCGTGGTGAGCACGTTCGAGGATACGTCCTCGGAGTGGAATTTCAAACTGGACCCGACGGTGGACATCGATCCTTACGACCCACCGCAGCTCGAGGGGAGGGACTTCTACAACATGCCCACGTCCGTGCTGGACTCGTATGTCTGCGATACCACTGCGTATTCCATGATCAATGCGGTGGCGGCGGCTGGAGAGGATCGCTTCTTGCGCCGGATGGTGGTGAGAGCTGGGCAGTTCTACAAGCTTTCCCCCACAGAGAGGCTGGAGGACGAGGTGCTGGGATGGAAAGTTTGGGCTGTCAAGGATGGCGACGGCGTTCCAAACCTGGGGGAGCTCGAGAAAGCTGCCAGGGTGGTGTTATAAGAGGGAGGACGGCGAGTACCCGGTGGTGGCGAAGCAGCTCGTTATCTTCTGCACCGGGAACTCGGAGTTTTTCCCCGAGTTTTTGGTTGACACTATCAACTGGAGGCGACTGGTGAGGGTGGTGAAGGATGTTGTTGGCAGTCGCCCAAGCGCGCAGGAGCGGATGTTTGTGTTTCGAGCCTGGGACGTGAGCTCATCACTGGATTCCAGGGATCAAGTGTTCCTTGAGGATCCAACCAAGCCTCATGTCTGCGGCTGTGGTTCTTGACGACTAAACACGCTTTGGGCGTGGTGATGATGGCGCTGGGCAGGCATTCTTCGTTACATTGTTCTGCGTCAACCTCATCGACGTTGAGGAGCCACTCCCGCCATCGATTCCAAAGTTACAACTGTTAGGAGTGGGGATTTATTCATCACCAGTGTTGCTCACACGTCACCTGACGGATGGGAAAAATGGTTTACGAGTTGCGAGGCAGCTCATCACGAGGGGAGCACCGAGCTCCGGACCAAGAATTGATCCTCACCAAGCTCAAGAGTGGTGTCTGCACCAAGGATAGAGCTCAAGGGTGGTGGTAGCGAGCTCTGGCTCTATCCTCACCAAGGTTGTAGCGGTGGTACCAAGGTCCTTTCAAGCGGGAGTACCGAGGTAGTCGCCGTGCTTTGATTTTTGGTGGCAGAGCACTGTGATCCTTGCTGAAGTATTTGCCCCCTTCTTGACGACTCCAGTGCATTATTCACAATCTTCCTCGAAGAACCTCACCAGCTTTTCACTCAAGTGGTTTGCAACCAAAGCTGTATGATCACTTCGCTCAGTGTAGGAGCTCATTTCCGTCATGCCGTTCAGATGCTCGAGCCTGCTGTCCAGTTCTTTCCTATCTTCCAGAAATAAGTTTTCAAATTTGCCACACCGTTACACCAAATTCCAAGCACGTATCTCCCTTGACATGGGCATCGCTGGGAGGTGATGCTGGGACCGGAGGTGGATTTCCCGCTGCAATCCAAGCTATTCGTGCCTTGTAAGAGAACTATCTTCCAACCACTTTAGGGCTTATACCCTGTTGTTAGGGTTCTAGCGAGAGCTTAACCGAATATTTTAACCTAACGCCAACCGTCGATTCTAACAGGAATCACAAGAATGTAGAACATAAAAAGAGAAAATAAAAATAAAAGCAAAGCAGTTTTGTGCTAATGTCATCTCCACCACTAAAGGAAACACAAAATAAGCTCTAGGGAGATTATGGTACGTGCTAAGAAGATGAAGGTAACTTATTTGATGCCACGTGCTTAGCAGTGATCATTGGTAACAAATAAAACATAGTAAAATCAAGAGAATTTCTTTTTGTTGAATTGCAGCAACTATGATGAGCTATTCCTCTCTTTTAGCTTTCCTCCGAGTGGTGGATGATGCCACCACTAACCATTCTTCAAGCCCAGCAATTACTTTTGATCACTGCTGCGAGATACTTCTTGGAAAAAATCTAGCAATAAGTAATTGGTCATGGCCCAATAACAAATTTAAGTGGTGCTAAACCACTGGAAAAGGTGTCAATTGACTGAAAACGGTGTTGAACCTTATTTTCAAATCTTCTTTCATTTAAAATCCATCACATTTATTTTTCTTATCTTCATCACCTTCTCAAGCTGATTTCTTGTGCCTTAAAAGATTTTAGTCACTACGGAGTGGTTATCTTGCAAGGCACGAATAGCTTGTGCTATCGTGCTGGGCAGGTGGATCTCCCGCTGCGAATTCGGCTGGAACCGTAGAAGTCCGTGTCAAGAAGGATCTGCATGCTTGGAAGTGGCCCGGTCGGGAGCTAGGAGAAACAGGTTGCCGTGAACACCTTTGAGAAGCAAGATGGTGTTTGACAAATTTCCATGCACCATGCTTCCGGCCCGCCACAGCTACCAAGTTTAGCGAAGAACATCTCGATGAAGCTCTGGAAGATGGGAAAGATCGAGCTCACTCGACAGTCGGCTTCGAATCTCCCCGGAAGATGTTTGCGAGGAGCACGTAAGGCCCAGCGTCCCTTGCTTCGTTCTTGAGAGCTAGTTGGGCAGCGCCCGCAGCAGCATCCAGGTCCCGGTGTTTCTTGCAAGCCGTCATGAAGCAAGTCCAGTCGTGAGCATCCGGAAGGAACGGCATGGTAGAGATAAGTTCTTGCGCGGCTCCAAGGTGTCCGGAGCGAGCCAAGAGATCGATCATGCAGCCGTGGTGCAGCTTGTTTGGTTGCAAACCGAAGTCAGCGGACATGGAACAAAAGTACGAGCGGCCGAGCTCTGGATCGCCGGCGTGACTGCTTCCGTTTAAGATGCAAGTGAAGCAGTCAAGGTCAGGACTGCCACCTTCCAATCCAATTCTTCCAAATTGCTCGAACGCGTCTGCAAACTTTTGCTCGTTGTGCGAATACAGAGCCACAAGCGCCGTCCACGAAACCACGTCTTGCTCCGGCATTGCATCAAAGATCTTCCTTGAGTCCTCAAGATGTCCCTTGCGAACGTACGCACAAAGCATCGAGTTCCAAGACGCTGGCTCTCTCTCCGGCATCGCGTAGAGGATCTCCTTAGCGGTTTCCAAGTCCCCGTTTTGAGCGTAAGCGGAGAGCAACGCATTCCACGAAACGTTGTCCCTGTCTGGCATCTCGTCAAACAAGTTTCTAGCACTCTCCAGGTAACCACTTTGAGCGAAAACTGATAGCATTGCGTTCCAGGCAATCTGGTCCTTGTCTCGGATCCCATCGAACAAGCTCTTGGCTTCTTCGAGGTGGCCGAAGCTCGCATAGGCAGTGAGCATGGACGTCTCCGAGACGACGTTGAGCTCCGGCATGGAATCAAACAGCGCCTTGGTTTTCTCGAGCTGGAAGGTGGCGCAGAAGATCGAGAGCATTATGTTCCAGGAGGTGAGATCCCTCGAGGGCATCGCATCAAACAGGTTCTTCGTGCGAGAGACGTCCTCGTGCTGCGCATAGGCGCACAGGATGTTGTTCCACGAATACAAGTTCTGGTAAGGCATTTTGTCGAAGATCTTCTTTGCTTCCGCGAGCTGACGAGCCCGGTTGTGTGCAGAGAGCATCAGATTGCAGGACAAAAGGTCTTGCTCCGGCATGGATTCAAGCAAGTTCCCGGCTTGGATCATCAGTCCCTCCTGGGCATAAGCCGAGAGCATCGAGTTCCAGGACGAGAGATCCCGCTGTTTCATACCCTGAAAGAAAAGGATGGCTTTCTCGAGGTGCCCGTTCTCGCCATAGCTGTTCAGCATCGCGTTGTTGCAGACGAGGTCCCAGCTCGGCATTTCATGGAACAGAGTGTTGGCTTTCTCGACGTAGCCTCTTTGAGCATAGGCGACGAGCAAAGCAGTCCACGAGACAGTGTTCCAGAGAGGCATTATTGAAAAGAGGTGGTCGAGTTCTTCCAAATCGCCGTCGTGAGCATAGCCGGATAGCATCGCGTTCCACGCGACCAAATCTTTGTCGGGCATAGTGAAAAACAGGGATTTTGCATCTTCAAGATGCCGATTTTGGGCAAATGCTGCAAGAATCGCAGTTGTAGAAACTGTGTCTCGCTGCGGCATCGAATCAAAAAATTCTCTGACTTCCAAGAGATCGAAATTGTTGATGATAGCAGCCAGGATTGCGTTGTAAGAAACCAAGTTTGGATTTGGGATGGAAGAGAACACTGTTTTAGCATCGTCAATATGCCCCTTTCGGGCATATGCTGTGAGGATGATGTTCCATGAGACTATACTCCGATCCGGCATAGAAGTAAAGAGTTCCTTGCATTCTTCCAATCGACCGGATCTAGAAAGCGCAGAGATGAGACAATTCCAAGACGCGATATCGCGCTCCGGCATCGCATCGAAGACGCTCCTAGCCTCGTCGAGATGCCCGTGCCGGGCATATACTCCCAGCATGAGATTCCAAGAGAATTGGTCCTTGGGCGCGATGGAATAGAAGACACTCCTCGCCTCCGAGATGCCGCCGCATCGCCCATACATCTCCACGACAAGATTAAGAAAGAACACTGGCGATTTGGAGAATTGGGGCGAGGCGACGATCTGAGCGTGGAGGATCCGGGCTTGGATGAGCGATCGGCACGATTTGAGAGTGTCGGCGCAGCGATCCAGGCGCGAGAAGCCGGCGGTGGCGAGCTCCTCTCCTGGGCATTTTGTAGGCATCTAGCGCATCTTGTGGGAATCTAGGGTACCACGTTGATTGTGCTTTATGAGCTGGACGTATGGCCCTCTGCCACGTGAAGCGGCAAGAGCACTTTTATTTATGCCCAATGGTGGATGACCACGTGGCGGGAATATCACTTTCCCGCCAGTTGGGATTTGCTGGACTGGCGTCCACATAACATTCTCTCTTTCGCGGCTATGGCCGCGTGAAACCCTAGTCTTGTTTCTTCTTCTTCCACTCTAGGCGAGCTCTTCCTCCAGGCGTGACGCGCGCTCGCTAGAGCCGGCTGCTTCTTCCGGGATTTCGATCTTCAATGTCGGTGAGTGGAAATCGATCGTTTGCTGCACAGCGGCCGGGATTTCGAGCATCGCTCACGGCTCTCGTGTCGGATTTGGCAGAGAAGGACAAGGATTCCAAAGTTTGGGAGTTGGGACTCGAGCGATGGACTCAATGCGGCCTTCACGGAGGTGTTTGAGGTTGCGAGGGCGGCGAGGATGACGGATCCCAGCGAGGTGCTGGCCGCGAGAGTGCGAAATCCTCATCCACAGAAGATAAATCCCACAGGAAGTCACCACCACGCCAGGAAAGGGAGCAGCAGTGACGACGCTGGCAGCAGCGAAGGATTTGGAATTGGAAATGGGTATGGAGGAGGAGATGGAGGAGGAGCTCCTCCAAGACCTCACAGGCAAATCGATCCTCCTACACAGAGAATTCTCATTGACGACTCGCGCTACGTTCCGTTCGGGAAAGATGACGGTGGCCCTCGACTGATTGGGCACTCACACTCGGAGCGCGAGAGTTCCTCCTCGCCGGCATTTAAATCGCCACTGCACCAGGGAAGAAATGGAAACCATCGCAGTGCATCGCCGGCGTGGGAGCGAAAGGAAGGATCCTCCACGCCAGGGAGATTGCGACCAAAGTCGAGTACCAACATGGAAGTCCCCCCTGTAAGTTTTAAAACTCTTTTCTTCTTTCTTCTAGCCTAGCATTTGGATTGATCGTTCTTTGGTTCCCTTGGGCAGCCAGAGAAAGCAGCAGTGCTGCCAAAGTTTGGTGCTTGGGATGCAAACGATCCGGCGTCCGGTGATGGATTCACGATGATCTTCACCAACGCAAGGAATGAGAAAAAGGCTGGAGGATCCGTGCACGTCCCACCGTTGGGTGTTGACGAAAAGGATTTGTACCCGGAGAGAAGAACTAGTGCATCGCAAAAGACGACATCCACGGTATGTATGGATTTACTGTTCTCTTTCTATGGGCTTATATGATGTCTTCTTCTTCTTAGAAAAAGAGCTTTTGCTGCTTCCAACCGAGCACGGTGGAGGCCTAAGACGTGTTTCTATCAGTGTACAGTTATTGTTTTCTCTTGTTCCTTGCTTTGTTCACAGCAGCTTATGTAACTTTCAGTGGCATAGCATTCTTTGTATCATTTGAAGTCCTGTAATATCACAAATTTGTACTCTCAAACTATTTCTTGTCTACTATAGCTTTAGAGCTTCGAGCAGATCAAAGCTATCAGGATCTACGGAGAGGATTGGACCCATGCAAACTCTTGCACGTAACCCTCGGCTGGACACGAGTCCCGGCACGAATACACCGCTATGGTTCCCCAGTCAAGCGAGTCTCTCTCGTTCTCCACGCCGAAAAAGTAGAGCAGCTGCGACATCACCTGAAACAAGTAGTCGATATCAAGCAGCAGCAAGAAAATTCACGTTTCTTTTCTGGAATCCCATACCTGAAACTCGAAGACACGAGGAGCTCCACAAAGTTGGCACGAAGGGATGTCGGCGTCGCTAGCTTGGCCTTCGAGTTTCATCCACAGCGGCTGCGAGTCTCCTGCCCGGCTTGATCCAAGCCTCAAGACTTGGCTGGGAGCTCTTGTCATCCGGGCCTGGAATGCCGCCCAGAAGCTGTCTTCTCTCGATGCCTATCAACGGTCGAGGCGAGCCTTGAAAACCAAGAAACGAGAACTCTCTGTTACCTCTTGGAAGCCCTCGAGATTGGTTGCTGGAACAATGCCAGGATCATCAGCATCAGCTGCTTCCTCGTCTTCCTCTTCCTCCTCGCTTCCTTCTTCTTCGCTAAACTCCAGCTCGAATTCGTGCCACAGGGTCTTCTTTTCTGCTCTCTTGTCCGACGATGAATCCTTGCACGAGTACGAATGACCAGCTTGCCAGTGTTCCACCTACAAAAATGCTCGAAATGCTCAACACAAATAGCAGAAGGAGATTCAAGAAAGAAACAGATACACTAACTTGATGCTTGCGGGAACAGTAGCTGATCTTCCTGCAACCCCCACACTGACTTCCACCTTTCCAAGTGTGGCACCAGTCGCAAAGTTGGACTGTAAAACACTCTGCCTGAACATCTGAGTTGCAAGCTTGAAACTGTACCTCCATTCGGATCGTTTCTCCGAGCAGCTACTTGAGCTCGAAAAACTTTGACGCTGCAAGCAGCTTAGCGGACAAAATGGGAGGAAGAAATGATACCTTCTGTGGGACGTTTCTTGGCTCTGTTGAGCTTGGTCCAGATTTAAACAAGCCATCTTTGGGCACATGAAAACCAGTAGAGTGAATCTGTTCTCATCGTCTCCTTCGGGAAGAGGCACACAGACCTGCACACTCTTTTCAGCTCAATCGCTCTGGACAGAATGCTTACTTGGAGCAAGAACTGCAGGGGTTCCTTGCAAAACCCGCAGCAAGCATCGGCCATGGGCGGCAGGTTTTGTGGATCCAGCCACACCTGCATCTCTACCGCCATCAGCCAAAAAGAAGCTATAGCTGAGAACCAAACACGACATACCGGTGCTCCGCCAGCTTTGCTGGGAAAATCGCTCCATGATCTGCTAGGCTTCCGCGTAAACCCCAGCGCCACTCCACTTCTCTCCATAAAAACCCTCGGTGAAAGTGGGGAAGATCAAGGGTTGCAGGTGCTATGCCGCATATGTTCCCGGTGATAACTTTACCAAGATCCTCCTGGCATCCTAGGCTTCATGGGTTCCACCTTAGGACGATATATTTACTACTTGGGAAGTGCTTGGGAACATATAATTTCATTTGGATAGACTCCCTCTCTGGTAGAGGCTGAGGGTGGTTCAAATCAATCACTACTTAGCATCCCATAGTTCAAATCAATGCCTATCAGATTGAGCATAAGAGGATAGGCGGGTGGGAATGAGTTATTGCAATAGCGATAATGTACTTGAGTCCGGCGTCTGTGCAAAAAGCCTTTTCGTCCCGAGAAAACCAGGTTCTTTATCTCTCTCAGCAGGAGTTGAGCAACTGAAGATCGGCAATTGCAATGGGCAGGTGCTAGCGTTCGGAGTCCGATTGGCCGAGACCAGATTTTTCTCCCTGGAAGGAGATTCTTTCATGATCAATTTCACGTAGCTTTGGCGACAGCGAGCACGACAGCGACCATTTGGTTCCATTTTTGTTTTAAAACTTGATCACTTGGTTTCCAGATCAGAGCATTTGCAAGCGTGCACAACATGCTGAGGATTAATTCTTATCTTCACAGCATGCATCGATTTGGTACTTCAGTTGTATTCCGGGTTGTCGGGTTCAGGGATATCATCAATCCTCTTCGATCGAGGAAGCCATTTCCCATCTTCCAGCTTCATATCCTTGTTTGGCGGCAGTACCCATGACACTGGAACTCCAAACTCCTCCTTGAGGATGTCAGCTTGCTTGTTGAGCAAAGCACAGTCTCTTGCATCAAATGGGGAGGGTTCAAGTTCAAGCCTGGCCTTCTTGAATTTTGGGGCTGCTTCTTTCATGGTTGCAACCTCTTCCAGGTACGCCAAATCCTTGTAGAATGGAGCCAAGGCTTCCATGCCCTCCTCCCCGTATCTCTTGTTAAGGATCTCCATCGCCTCTTTGAACGCGGGGGTTTGGAGCGGTTGGGCCGAGAGCTTGAGCAGGTGCTCGGGGACAAAGGATTGTGCTGCAATGGTGTGTAGGTAGAGTTGGAGATTGTGGCAAACTCCAAAATATGTCTTGACTCTGGCGAAGGCGCCATCCGGTTCTGCCATTAAGCTTGCACCAAAAATGTTGTGTTCCTGATGAAAAACATCTGTAGAAATATCATTCAAACACGTGTGCTAAGTACATTGAGTAACCATGGTTGAACGTATGGTGACTTTGTCCAGTCTGGCTTTCGCTCTTTCCCGACATGGTGATAGTATGTGATAGGGAAGTGACTTGGAATTGCCCCAATCCAGCTTTCAACAGCATCGTATATTGGAACGTGTGGTACGAAATCCCCAACCCCACTGTATCGTGTAATCACCAAGGTGGACTGGCTCTCCGCCAGGCGCTTGAATTCCGCATTGCCCACTTTGGGTGAAGCATAAGCAACGAGGTGGACCTTGACATTGCTGCGGCTGCTAGCAAAGTTGATGCTCAGGTCAGCTGCAGCCAAGGTTGCGAGAGACGAGCCCAGGCTATGGCCGGCACACACAATCCTCACGTCTTTCTTGTTGTCGCCAGAAGAAACAAGCTCCTCTACCTCCTTGAAGATCTGGTTCCTCAGGCTCGGCTCCCCAAACGCATGAGCTTCATTGGTGGAGCTGTATATGCTATAGAATCCACAATGAACACGAGCTTTTTTGGACGGATCAATTCTATCACAAGTCACCATATTTGCTTTGAATAGATTTTGATGCCATTCCGCGTCGGATATAGTTCAACAACGATTTCACGGCAGCCAAGATACTCGCTCTGCTGCGGCGTAGATACGGCAACGAAGCCAAACCATGCAGACGGTGCGTATCCATGAACTGTTGCATAGATGTAGCGGGTTATTGTGTAGCGCTCGTCCAGCTCCGGAAGACCAGTTTTTGCCAGGTGCTCGCTCTTGCCATAGCGCGGATACAAGTAGAACTTATCCCCCTTGTGATCAAAGATTGACTCGTTAATGCTACTGACGAAGTCTCCATAGCGGTCTTCAGACAAAGCCTCGTCATGGTTGGAATCACGTCCAACAGACTTAGCCTTTGTCACAGGTGCGGATGCTGGTGAAGCAAGAAGCACAGAAGACATTGCTGTTTTAGTTGCTCTCACTGAAGAAAGAAAGGTAATTGTGAGAATGGTAGAGCATGGATTTATATAGTGAGTGTGTGTGTGTGTGAAGGTGGAAGGTCTCTATTGCACACGTTTAAATGTATGGCAGGTGGCATTGTTTGTGTAGAGTTGATGGCATTGGTACCAAGAAGAGGAAAAAACACCCAAAAGTAAGTGGCTTGTGGTACCAGGTGCTTAGCTGGGTTGTAAAGGTAATAGGTACGTCGGTGAAATAAAGGGCAAGGACAGAAGGCGTGGTGGTAGAAGACCTAGAGGAGCTCATCGAACAAATGGCTCATGAGATCATTAAAACAGCTTATTATAATCTGTCCGTCTCATGCTTCTTGGAGAGCCTGTAAACAGTTAATGAATGAATGAATGAATGAATGAATGTAAGTTGTGGTTTGAGGTGCCAATTACTTCATAAGCATTTAGTACAGTTAAATGTGATCGATCTTACACATCTGATAGGATGGCTTATGTGATAATTCTCTGTGTCTGTGATAAGAGTAAAACATCGCCTTCCTCCATTAAAATGGGACCCTGTCTTGTTACCATGTTCCTCATTCTAGTTCCGATGTCAACTTTGTTTCTTCTTCCTCTGGATTTTGCCCTTCGACATTGCCTTGAGTTCATCTTTTGCAACGTCTGCGCTCAGTCTCTCCTGCCAGAATAAAAATTTTGAGACCACAAAACTCAAACAGCGATGTAAAAGAACCTTGCGCTCGCCAACAGCCCTCGCTAGCTCCGCCGACATGTCTCCTTTCAACTGCTTTGATTTTTCCTTCCATTCTTGCTCTCTAATCGATGCAGTTAGAGAAAAGCAAGAAGATTAAAGTTGAAGCACTTGCCTTCGAAGTTTCAGGAGGCCTTGGAACTTTCGCTTTGCTTCTTGTATTGCGACCTCAGGATTATCGGTGCGGCAGATGTCATATGAAGCGATGGAACGGCCATATCTAGCCTGTAAACAAGTGTATAATCAGACGCACAAATTTGAAAAGCATTACAAACCAGCTCGTCCGTGGTCATAAGATCAAGGCAATGCTCCTCCCAAGCAGCCACTAGATCATAGCAAACCTGTGGCTGTAATGGGAACTTTTGTACAAGCTTAGAATATTTCTCAAGAATTTTTCCAAGCTCCTCCATATCTGCAGAATGATTTTAGCTACCGAAACAAATCACAGTGCAAGGAACTGTACCGTCTTCGAACGCATCAAGAAAATTTGTCTTGGCCACCCGCCTGTTTTCCTTGCTGATTTCGGCGCCTTCAAGCACCAGCTCAAGACCTTCGTCAAGGGACACCAGCCTAGAGAAACAAACATAAGAAAATGCCATTGAGTTGAATTTGGTGACATACCTTCCTTCTTCCGACGTGATCATAATATTTCTCGTACTTGGCAGCGCTTCTGCAACAAACTTATGACTTAGCATTTCCAAGTCGCAAAAAGAAAGATAAAAAATTTACCTGGCATTGCTAGCAACACGTCCTCAACTGGTACAACTGGTCCATCCGTGATAGCATGGTTTTTCCCGTTTCCGATGCTTGAGTGACCATTGCCATTTGCCATGGTTGAATGACCATTACCGCTTAGCATAGTCGAATGACCGTTGCCATTGTGAGCACCATGGCCATTAACTCCGTTTCCTGACTTGACATTGCAGTGCTCCTCGTCATTTGTTCTCGTTTTGTTCACAGCTGCTAGTGGAATAGAAGGCTTTTGTGGTGGCAGTGACATTGGCGGTGGCGGTGGCGGTGGCGGTGGTGGTGGCGGCGGCGGAGGAGGAACTGCTACCTGGATGGACTTCGACAATGGACTTGCAGTTGTCACCGGTTGTGAAACCAAGACTTTCTCCACCTTTGGAGACGGTGACGACGGCGGCAAAGCAGAAGGTACTAAAAACTTGGAGAATGAAACTGATGGCGACAGAGCAGAAGGTGACGAACTTTGAGGCGAACTTGGAAGAGATGCCGGTTGTGCAGCCGACGATGCGTCCGGCTTTTGTTCTTTGGCCACATAAATGACGTTCTTGTCACCAACAGACGGGGCAGATCCATTTTGCCAGCTTTTCTGCCTGTAGAGATCCACAGGCTTCAGTGATATCGACGTTACTTTCAACGGCCCCATTGACTCCAGCAGCGTGTTCGCGAAGAAATCGTTGCCAGCTACTTGAAGCATCTCCTTGAAAGAGTTTGCACTGATCTCGGCTCGTTCCTGCGACTGCTTCCGGAAAGTCACCTCAAAGTCGACAGTGACACTGCCTAACCGCTTTCTGACTATCCGAACGGCACTCAGCTCGACGCAAGCCGTGGACGCGATGCTTCGAATGAAGACGATCTCGGCCTCGTTGTTGAAGTCCGACATTCTGGCTCTGGTAAAGCATAAGCTTCCCTCAATCACAGCAACGGCCCCAGCTTCCTCAAAACTCTGATCTGTGCCTTCCGGAGTGTCTGACGTCCACCAAGGTGAAGGCTGACGATGCTGTAAGAAATAGTCGAGTGAAGCCATCTCAACTATGTTGTCTTGGATCCTGTTCACGTGTAGCTTCCAAGCACCATAGCCTTTCACTTTAGAAGGTATAAGCTTGTCAAGCCTGGAGCGAACTTCGCCGCCCTTCCGTTTGTCCGCACACATCATGGCCAAGCACTCCGCAGCCTTCTTCTTGACTGGTTCCGAGCCATGGAAGTCCAAGAGCAAGTCTTCAATCTTAGAGATCACTCCCATTCTCATGACTATCTCCACGGTGATGCTGCTCAAGCGCATCAACCTTAATAGCAAACTCAGGCTGCACAGCCGGGGATCTGTTCCAGTATCACCGGCGTACGGAGGAGGAACTTTTAGCGAGAGAAACGAAGCCAACGTATATAAAAGCTCCTCGGAGATGATGCAGTCTGCAATATCCGGATGAGTTGCCGTGCAATGAAGCAAAAGCATTGCTGGCTGCGCAAAAGCTCTTCGCTCGTCCCCCAAATCGTTGCTCATTAGCTCGTATAGCGGAAGAAATATGTCGATGTTTGATCGGCTGGATAGAAGGTGAGGGTGAAGTCTCACAAGAATAAGTAATGCAAGAAGAACGCGCCGGCGATCATCGAAAGTAAACGCTTCCGCATAGAGACCATCTGTTGACGAGCCAACCACCAAAGCCTTCCGGAGTTCGTGTAAAAGCCGCTCTTGTGAGACGGGATCTAAGGAATGCTTGTAGCCGCGAAGGAACTGATCGACGTAATAGCCGCCAAGATACAGTTCCTGGGCATAACCTTCAGCAAAGTCATGCCTGAATAGTGGCCTCTCGTCGCCTTCAATATTTACCGCCAATATCCAGCGCAAGAACACTGGCCGCTTCGCATCAACAGACCAGGCTGAAAGTCCGCCAGCATTCGTATAGATAGTACGTACTCGAGCTGCTTCTTTCATTATAATCGTCTTCACCTGGTGCCGTCTTGATTCATCCCAGACGAGCTTTACGCTCAAGACGCAACCATCGTAAGTCTTGCATGCTTCAGTTGGCTCTCGAGCAAGAGCAGAGAGGATCTCGAGTGGAAGTAGGAGCAGAAGTGATCTGATGGGTGCCGGGTCGTCCTCAGAACAGTTCTCCACTATGCTAAAAAGTTCGTACATGTCCGTCGCTTGACCGATCCCTTCACCCGAACTGGTCTTCTGCTGTTCCAAATCTTTAATCAGCTTTCCTCTCCTGGTCACACCTTTCCCGGCCAAGAGAAGCTGTCCCAAGATTTTGGCAGCCATCAACCTGTGTCCAAAGCTTCTTATGTTCTTTGCTGATGCTCCCGAGCCGCGCAAGCAAGGAAGATTGACATCGCAGAACATGGCCATAAGTGGTAAAAATGTTCCATGCGACGAGAAATAGTTTGTGGCTGCAGTTGTTGCTGGTAGCTGCTCGCTGAGGACGTATAAAGCTTCCAATGTAGACCGAAGAACATCGTCCATTCCTTCCTTAGAAACGTCTGCGCTTGCTTCCCATAGCTGTAAGCTCAAGGCCCCCAGGAGCTGTGATTGAAAGACTAGTTCCAGCAATCCACCTGCTACTAAAACCTTGCAGACAGAAGATATTCCAACTTGCACTCGATAGTCAAGGACGCCTTGAAAAATAAGTGACGATAAACCAGAATAGTCACACTGTGTCAGCATCTCTGTCATGTTTTTCTTCAAAGCATATCGTATGCATTCTTTGAAAGCCGATAGAACAGATAAATACTCTGTCACGCTGATCTTGTCTGTATCTCTGTTGACACCATCCAAGGCAACACTACGATGCCGCACCATGAAGCCTAGCAGCGCATTTAGTAATGAGCTCCGCAGCTGAAACTTGATACTGTCGGTATTGCAGCTGATTAACCCCTTGATATAAAATCCATCGATGACCAGCTCGTCGCGAAGACAATTGTAGCTGAACTGTCTTAACCATTCAAGCTCATCGTCTTCAGAGTTCCTGTTGTGTAAGCGATCATATAAACGTTCCCGGAGTTCTCCACGAACTCTATCGTCCCACAGTGCAGTTGGCAAAGCGAAATGAGATGCTCGTACTTCCGCAAGTCTTTCGATTCCCTCTTGTGCAGTAAGAGACACTAGCAAAGGCTCCGGAATAACACGTCTTAAGAGTGATGAGCTGAACTCGTTGCCATCCAAACACCTCATGATATCTACTGCTAATAAAGTCATAGCAGAATTACCACCTTCATTTACTGAGAAAAATGTCAAGAGTATCAAAGGGAGGTGTAAACCCTGGCAAAACAACAGCTAAGAAGCCGAGGAAATAATGAAAGTGTCGAACTTACCTTTTTAAAGAACTCGGGAAGTTCCTCTTGTTCAACAAAATGCCTGAGACAGCTCAAGGCAGCAGACGAAATACGATTTAATTCAGCTGGTACGACGGATGATATAGGATCACCGATAGCTGTACAAAGTGCCCACCAGAGTCCTCTGTTCCAGCGTGAATCATCTCGCAGGAGATCCCTTCCAGCTCTAAATAAAAAACAATTATAGAAGTAAGAAAACTGGAAAATGTGAATTATACCTTGAGCCACATGTTACTTCCAGCATTGACAAAGCCCCAGTGATAACATTGCTCAACGTATCAGCCCTGTAATCGGCACTAGATCCATCGGCTCCCAAGGAAATAATGTTCAGTGCAAAATCCACAGCTCCTGTTAATGGCCCTGTATCCCTGAACACGAAAAAACTAGTAAATATGCAACGCCATGATCATCAGTACCTGACAGTTATGGCACACATTTCTCTGAGAATCTTTGTAGCTTGAAACATAATTTCGGGTATCAGCAAGTCAACACCCTCCAATTCAGCAAGATAACGAACAGCTGGTGTTGCCAAGGTTAAAGCAACTGCTTCGATGTCACTTGGAGGCACCAGCTTTGGAAAACGTTCTAGTAAATACGCCTGACAGAACCGTGCGTAACATTAGCAGCTAAAAGCGCACTCGAAAGTGAATGATCTCTACCAGTGAGCTTAGAAGTTGGTGTGACTTGGAAAGCCCTTTCATCCAAAAAGAGCTTGCCATACCATTGGACGTTGATTTCAGAAAGTCGCCGGAAAGTTGTCTCAGGTGCTGTTCAAAGAAGATTTCGTTAGAAGTACAAATTTGGAAGGTTTCCTCGCCTTACTTTCATCAAATTGTTCAGAAATTTCACCGGATCATTTATTGGATAATTCGAAAATCTTTCGGTATCTAGGAAGTTATGAAGGTAAAATGGTTCAGTATAAACTGCATCTGCAATATATTAGAGCAAATTAATAAAAATGAAAGAAAGGATAAGAAGCGCGAAACCATTACCAGCGAGCTCTTCATAAACTACAGTCACAGGGACATGAATATAAAGTGCCATAGCATCCGCCGCTCGATTTCTTACGTATGGCTCTAAATGACATGTCAACTGACTTAGAAGTGCCTCCGCCATAGTCACATTCCACACGACTTCAGGATTATTTTGCTCAGAGTTGAGTAGCATGAAAAAACCTTCTGCATCCTGAACAAGATTAAGTTCAATATAGATTTTAAATTCGCAGATACCTCCGATATCAACTTCATGATCAATCCATCAGGTAAATAAAAACGAAGACTACTGTTTTCACATGGAGAACAGTCGGTGTTGAGGTAAACATCGGACACCTATAAGCAGGCCGTGTTTGTGAGCAAGACTTAAAGGTTGACATTTCACCTGCGGAAGATGTGTCTGGCGTAAGAAACTGATGATCATTTTCTTATCCGCGTCCACAATATCACCGGCTAGAAGCTTCCAAAGAATTATTTCGTACGTTCCGAGCTCTTCGATAGACGTCATACAAGACTTGCTTGTTTTTGTCAAGTGAGACAAAATGTTCAAGATCCTAGATAGACAACCCTTGTCAAACGCAAACCAATTAAAGGCATGCTGACCTTCCGAAGGCGGGCGTCTTTGCGCGAAGAAGGCTTTGAACCAGATGGCACATAACATCCTCTCGTGAGAGCGCAATGCATGCAGCAGACGGTGGAAAAATGTCACTGTTGTCGCTTCCGCATAGCCTGTATAGAAACACAAAAAGTGTGAGCGAACGATAAACTAAACTGGATTACCTGAGGATCGCTTCCAGCACATCCAAGACCATACCAAATTGTATCTTACTTGGTACTATCGAGTCTTGCCATTTGATTGCCTCTTTCGCATCTAAGCTTCCATTTAGCAAGGCTTTACCAAGAACCTCTCGAACTTTTCCCGAAGGGACTCGCACTAATTTAAGTTCACCGTT